ATTGATATTAATCAAATGGTGCAGTATATTCTTGAATTATCTAGAATTTCCTTCAGTGGTACATTTAGGATATGAATATTTATGTTTTTAGAAATTAACTTAGTGTTTAGGTTATATCTTCTATAAACCTAGCAACCCCCAATATTGTGCAATTGTTACTTTGAAATCCGGTAGCTCTCTTTATGCCTAAAACATAAATGTAAGTATATTCTGTTGTCTTGTTGCAGTGTTTTAAGTATTTCCTTAAAATATGAAAAAAAATTCTTAAATACAAGTACTTTTTTTTTCAGAATTTAATAACTTTATTCTAAAATAAACCAATTTATATTTTCCTATAGAATGGATCATTGGTGGGGCACCTGACTGGCTCAGTCGGTAGAACATGCGACTCTTGGTGTCAGGGTTGTTAAGTTTGAGCCCCATGGTGGGTGTAGAGATAACTTCAAAATGAAAAAGATTTAAAAATAAAAGAATGGATCATTGGCTTAAAAAAAATTATGACTACTTGTTCAACCTACAGCCACCATCTATGTCTAAAAATGCTAAATAAATAAATAAATAAATAAATAATGCTAAAAAGGTTAAACCAATATACAGCAGACTTCTCTCACAGAAGAATCAACTCCAAAGAAACTATAAGAAAAAGCTACTGTAGTATCTTAAAGGGTAAGTTATTGTATGACATTGCTGGAGAAACAAAACAGTTGGGGCGTCTCGGGTTGCTCAGTCGGTTGAGCGTCTGACTCTTGATTTTGGCTCTTGTCATGATCCCAGGGTCCTAAGATCGAGCCCTGCGTCAGGCTTCCTGCTCAATGGGGAGTCTGCTTGAGATTCTCTCTCCTTGTCCCTCTACCTCTGCCCCTCCCCACTTACACTCGCTCTCTCTCTCAAATAAACGTCTTTAAAAAAATTACACAGTAACTGAGCAATTTTACAAAAAGCTGTATTACACAGTGGACATTGCTGATTGTCTGCCGGATGAAAAGTAAAAATGGCAGTGTCATTTTTTTAACAATACATTGTCATATTAAACATTTATGTACAGACAAAGTCTCCATTAGTATCTAGTCTGTAGAAGTATATTTAAACCTTACAAGTGGATGAACCTACAAAAATGGCTGGGCTTATTTTCCATGTATTTGTCCTGCATCAGCTAGTCAAAAAGACTTCTGTCAAAGCTTGGCAAACACATGCGCTGAAACAGTTGAAAGTGTTGAGTAGTTTTTTACTATTTTTTATTTTTAAAAAGTAATCTCTACACCCACTGTGGGGCTCAAACTCACAAACCTGAGATCAAGAGTCACATGCTCTAGGGCGCCTGGGTGGCTCAGTCGTTAAGCGTCTGCCTTCGGCTCAGGTCATGATCCCAGGGTCCTGGGATCGAGTCCCGCATCGGGCTCCCTGCTCTGCGGGGAGCCTGCTTCTCCCTCTCCCACTCCCCCTGCTTGTGTTCCTGCTCTCGCTGTCTCTCTCTCTGTCAAATAAATAAATAAAATCTTTAAAAAAAAAAAAAAAAAATCACATGCTCTACCAACTGAGCCAGCCAGGCACCCTTTGAGTAACTTTTTAAAATCCCCCATTTTATACTGATATTTTCACTAATGGTGAGAAGGCAAAAGTTGGTAAAACTGCTGACATCTTGGCATTAATCAAGGCAGTGGTACTGAAGTGTAGTCATTGTTCACTGACATGCATTTGCAGGGTAAGGGGAGGGGCGGTGGCAGTTCCACTTAAGAATGTCCTTGTGAGGGACACATGGGTGGCTCAGTCCGTTAAGCATCTGACTCTTGGTTTCGGCTTGCAGTTGTGGGTTCGAGCCCTGCGTCGGCTCCATGCTCAGCACTAAGTCTGCTGGAGATTCTCTCCCTTGTAAAAACATTAAAATCATTTTATGAAATCCAGACCTTTAGTATGTAACTTTAGTATGAGTGATGAAATAGAAAGTTTGCATGTAGTACTTCAGCTACATGTTTAAAGTACAGTGGTTGTTTCAAGAAAAAACACTCAGGCAATTGAGCTGCAGGCTGAATTAGCTTTTTCTTTTCACAGCATTTTTACCTAAATGATTGTCAAACTTGGCTATCTGGCGGACATTTTTGCAAATATAAAGTGTACCTTTCAAGGAAAACAGTTGATAGCAGTTAATGACAAAACTTAAACTCTCAAGTGAAAATTAGAATTTTGGGAAAAGTTGTATCCACTCTCAGGAGCTTCACATCTTCCTAATACTTAAAAGGACTTTTTTTTAAAGATTTTGTTTACTTTTGCAAGCGAGCACATGTGCACACAAGCAGGGATGGGAGGAGTGGGCAGAGGGAGAAGCAGACTCCCCACTGAGCAGGGAGCCCATGCGGGACTCGATCCCAGCAGCCTGGGATCATGACCTGAGCTGAGGACAGACACTTAACCGACTGAGCCACCCCAGTGCTCCCCCCACCTTTTTTAATGAGCTAGGTGGTGATATTAAGCTAATTTGCACATATTATATAATGAACTGGGCCAACATTTGGGAAATTTATATAACTTGGTGAACCAGTATTTTCCAAATGACCAAATACATGAAATGACAAAAATTGCAAATAAGTAATATCTCAACCAATATAGAAGAGAAACAAAAATCCAGCTGCCTTCTATTGAGGCAGATATTTAAGAGAAATGAATTGCAGAAAAGAAAAGAATATTACTCTGTTAAAGTCACTTCCATGAAAATGTTAACATGATGCATTTATTACTATTTTAAATTTTTTCTCAGTTTTAATTTCTAATGTGGAAATTAAGAATTTGGGTTTGAGAAAAACTAAAATAACCATTCTCTTTTCTAGTGAAAATGCTTTTATCAAAGAAACTATCACTGAATAGCTACTAGCTTCACAACTGATTAGCAGACTTGTTAGCCTTGAGACAAAAGTATAAGGGTGACAGTGGTAGGCCTCATAAACAATGATAAAGTACCAAGGTACAATAATTTGATTTTTCTCATAGAATTTTCAAACCTTCACCGTATCCCCCTGAGATTCCCACATAACGCCTCACCTAAACTTGTTGGGAAAGGCTAGGCAGAGAATAAGGGTCTTTTTCTATGGCTAGCTCACTAACATTTAATTTCCAACTGCCCAATAGTTACCCTTGTATGTCTCACCTCAAACATGAACATATATTGACCCATATGATGGGTCAAGTACAAATTTGGTATACTTAAAAACTAAGCCAACACGCAAAATACTATTTGTTTAGCAAATATTAAATGCCCACTTTGGCAAGTACTCTGCCAGGCACTTGGTAAACTGGTAAAAACAGACATGGTCCTTTTACTTTCCACTTCTGCCAATTACGGGCCCAATAGTTAAAGGTTTAAATGGTTTATTAAGAGGTGAAAGGGGCGCCCAGGTGGCTCAGTCAGTTAAGCATCTATCTGCCTTCGGCTCAGGCCATGATCCCAGGGTCTTGGGATTGAGACCCATGTCAGGCTCCCTGCTTTGCCTCTTCTCCTTTTGCCATGCTCGCTCACTCTCTTAAAAATCTTAAAAAAAAAAAAAAAAGTGAAAGATGGTTTTATGGTGAACCCAAAATAGTTCTTTTGGGTGTGCTTTCTGATGGTAAAAACTCCAGTCTAGGATATACAACCCTTTTAAGGGGCGCCTGGGTGGCTCAGTTGTTAGGCGTCTGCCTTTGGCTCAGGGGAGCCCTGCATCAGGCTCCCTGCTCAGCGATAAGCCTGCTTCTCCCTCTCCCACTCCCCCTGCTTGTGTTCCCTCTCTAGTTGTGTCTGTCAAAATCTTTAAAGTAAAAAATAAAATAAATAAAACCCTTATAAGTATCTTGCTTCTAATTCATGCTGAAGTGTGGGGTAGTAGTAGATCAGAAACCAGACTAGGGCTGTTGGCTATGCTGCTAATGTGAACTCTCAAAGAAAAGGATTATGTCCTTTTATTCTAAATATAAGATATCTAAAATTAAGGTATTGAGTAGTACTAATATATTACTAACATGACACTGAAAAGAATAGAGCCCGAAACTCCCAGATAAACTCTGAATATTGTAAAGAATTCCACATGTACCTCAACTAGTATTTGTCCCAGGCAGGCACCATTTTTACAAGGGCTTCATTTCATTTTCTACAGTCAGAAAGGACTTTATACAACTGGAAAAACAGCTAAATATGAATACAGATCCAAGAGAAAACAATGCTTGTGAAGTTTTTTTTTTCCTTAAAGACTGAGAGAATCTGCAATTCCTTTCATCAATCCTAATCCTCTATTTTAGTTTTATGTATTTTCATAACATGCGTATTTTAATTTTTTTTTTTTTAAAGATTTTATTTATTTATTCATGAGAGACAGAGAGAGAGGCAGAGGGAGAAGCAGGCTCCCAAGGAGCAGGGAGCCCGATGCGGGACCCGATCCCAGGACTCCGGGATCATGACCTGAGCTGAAGGCAGACGCCCAACCATCTGAGCCACCCAGGCGCCCGCATATTTTAATTTTTAAGGCAGATGGTAAACTTTCCAGTTGGTCTGGTGAGATTTCTTGTCAGGGGGCAAACACTATTCACAAAATGGAATGCTTCATTTTATGAAGGGTGAGGTAAAGCTAACTTGAGAAACTATAAAGAGCAAAGCTGCACAGGCAATGTAGTATGGCCCAAAATGTTTTATGTTCTCTTCCTTTCCATTAGGCCAGGGTAGCTTTCTACCTGCTACAATGGAAAACAGGAACTGCTACGAAGCCTGAAAATAGATACTCAAAACCAAATCCCAGAGCATTTTAGTAGGCTTAGGATCTTGAAAGCATTTTAAGTAGTAATTGCCCAGCTCTTCAAAAAGAGCTCCAAAGCTATGCTTAAGAACTTTTAATTCCATTCACACCTTTTGCTAACAAAGGTGAAGAGCTTTAGACCAGTTTAAACTGCAAACTGCAATTTTATTAACACTTTTTCTCTCAAACCAAGTTCTTCATGCTGACATTCCCAGTGTTGGGAGGCACAAATACCATAAACCATCTTCATTCTTGGCATCACCAAGGAGTTCTTTCCCTATCTTGTTCTGAAGGATCAACAAAAGCTTGAGGTGTACGTTTCAGAAGATAAACTGCTGCATGAAGGCCCCCTATGTTCACCCAGACAGTATGTACCTTCCGCCACACATGTCCCATTCCAGATAATGCCTGTGTATACACAAAAAGGACAGAAGTAATTAGCAGAAAATCTGTAGACCAACCAGCAGTGTAGCTGGTAGTAAGAAACCATGGGGGAAGAGAAAACAAATCCTACTCAAACTAATATCCCTAAGTTTAAATAGAAGACCCTAACGTTGCCACCGGGTGAATTTTTGGGCTAATTTACAGCACCTTGGTAAAGCATTTCTTGTCCTGAGTAAGTAGTGCAGCTCGGCCTGTCCCTGGTCTACAGACACGGCTCATCTCCCGTAGGCAAGCTGGATAAAGGTTCCAGTTTCTCTTTTTGGAGCCCATCCTATAAAAGAAGGTCCAGTGAATCAAACACTTAGTAGATAAACATCTAGAACTATATGAAATGAGAAATTAAAAACTCATTACAATAAGAAAATGTTACAACCTAAAAAAATAGTTGCCCTTTAGAAGCCAGGGCTTTGCCATTATATGCCAATAAAATGAGTAATCTGACTTATTAGTAAACGGCTTAGAAATAAGAAACAGACGAACTGGCTACAGAACAGTTTTTTGACAACTATAATAGTTATATAAGTTGTCCTCTTAATGACTGTAATAAACAGATTACATAAACCAAACCAATGATGAGAAAACATTTATTCTGAGAATTAGAACCAAGTTTTCCTCAGCCTTTGTGAAGTATCCTGTAGTTCAGCAATGGGCCCGGAAATGGATTAACCTGTGATGGCCAGGACCAAAATGCAGTTAATAAATGAGTTCTCAGAAGAAACAAAATGGGTGAATCCATCATATAATTCTTAAGTGAAAAAGTGCTCTAAGTCTACTAAAAGGAATTGGAAGATTTCTGATAGAATGAGCTCTTAGAAGGTAAGTTTAACAAGTGAAGGTAAAACTCATTTTTTAAAAGCCAAGTCCCACCTTTTTCCAAATGGCATGTCTGTTACAATAATGTCCACAGAGCCAGTTCTCAATGGCAGATTGCAGATATCCCACTGAACAGCATCTATGGGCAAGCCCCAGGACACTTTGCTATGGGGACAAAGGAAACGTGCTTATTCTGAAGTATGAAATCTAAAAACATTTCTGAAGAGACTGCTATAAAATACAAAATGCTACTAAAATGACAGTATCATTGACATTAACAATAAGCAAAATTTTAAACCAAAATGTAGAAGAAATCCGAAGTTAACATGATAAAACTTTTCTAATGACAAAATCTGTAATGACAATTTAAAAAATGGTTAAGGTTGGTTTCAAAAGATGTCTGGTTTCATCTACAATTTAAGAAAATCGATTAACGGGTAAACAAGATTGCAACACAAAGAACTACAAAAGATGACTGACAACAGTAATGAAACAGTAAATTATATAACAGAATGTAAAACATCAATGAACACAAGAAAGAGATTATGAGGTGACACATCTAAAGTTTGGTAGATCTTTCAATAACAGGAAACCTAAAACAGATACTTGTTTTAAAATTAAGCATGTATCACACAATGAAAAAATAAGACAAAGGAAAAGAACGTTGAAAAAACAGATTAACAAAAGAATATAAATGATGCAAATCCTCCTCATTAAGGCAAAGCTGCTGATATAACAAAATACAACAGGCAATAAGGCACAGGCTAAGAAAGGCAAATCAAAGATTGTGAGCAGAAATGAATGGTTATTCTATTGACAGTTAATGAAGAATTTAAGAGAAAATGTGCAATAAAGGCAGTCACTCCATAACGGGGGAAAAAAGCACAGATTATCGAAAGTAGCCATATTAATCACAATCACAGGTACCAATAACTGCAACAAAACAAGTGAACAAAAAATAGTAAAATCAAGACGGATGGATAGAAATAGTACAGGTAGAATAGACAAAAAAGGTACAGAGGGTCTGAAAAGCAAGATAAAATATACAGAAAATAGAAATAATTTGTTTGAAAATGTTTTATCAGGTTTCAAAAAAACTGGTGATGTACTAAGCCCCGAGAAAATTTCAATAAATACGCAACAAAACGTACCATAAAAATTCATCATCAATAAAATAAGTTAAAACCTTTCAACTACTTAGGTACAAAAAATGATCTAAACCCTTGCTATTCAAAGTTGGGCCACAGCCCCAGCACCATTAGTGTGACCCATAAACTTGCTAGGAAACACAAAACTCCCAGGTCCCATCTGAAACCTACTGAATCTAGTTAACAGGATCCCCAGGTGACTCATGCACATTAAATTTTGAAAAGCACTGCCCTAAACAACTAGATCAGTGAGACAAGTACACAACCAACGATTTAAAAAGAAACCAAAATAGAGAAAATTTATCATTAAAAAAAAAAAGATTGTAACTTAAAGTTTAAATAACAAATTTAAAAAACCTCAACAGGAAATAGGAATAAAGAAAACAAGCAATGAGCATAAAAACACAGAACAAACAGTATATGAACTAAACAAAGCACTGGTGATTCTCATCAATAAAGGGCAAAAAAATTAGCAAAGAAGAGAATAATCAACATACAGACTTAAAACAGTATGAGGCATTCCATGTGTAACTAACAAATAGGAATATCTGCATCAAATAGATAAGTATTTTTTTAAAACCACTGATTTCTATTTACAGAAACAAACCTCACATTAAGGGTTATGGAGGCAGCTGTCTCTAGGTTTGGTAAGGCCAATTATGGGATAGAACCACTTCCCTGGGCTATGTATTCAGGATATGGAGCATCTGTACTTCAACAAATATGCTGACCACTACCTACTCCTGCCACTTTGAGAAAATAAAGGGCATCAGCAGAGGAGAACACAGAAACAATTTTATGAGGCTTCTGGTGAGAAATGGAAGACCAAGTGACATTTCAACCAATTCTTCCAAAGACAAATGAAACGGAAAGAACGGTGAAGGGCTGGCACAAGGGGCATCACGGAGTGTAACCTGGAGTAGTGGGCCAGGGCTTAAGATATTGTAACCACAGGTAGTTAAAAAAACACAAAATTTCCCAGACACCAATGGACTTCCAGTGCACAGATAGGATACAGCTGAAGGACCTTAGAATATTTTGCTTGCAGGAGAGAGGATTTTGGAGGAATGGGATAGGAGGAGGGGGACTCTGGGTAGCCCTTCAAATGTCTGATGTTAAGCATCATGTGACACAGAGCTAAGATTTTTCTTTATGGATCCAGTGGGTCTAAAACAAATACATAGAAGGTACAGAGAGGAATTCAGTACACTAAAAGACATGACTAGAACTCCAAGCTGTGCAAAGACGGAACTGACAGCCTTCAGAGACAAAGTCATTAGAGATGGTGACAGACTGGAAGGCCACTGGTCAGGATCTCCTATAGGTAATGTGAAAATGGCTTTCATATTTCTTACAACTCTGACACTGCTTTAAAGTGCCAAATAGTAGAGGAAAGGCTAAATAAACTGTAGAATTTCTACACAAATATGCAGTCATTTAAAAAAGACTATATAAAAATATTCAAAGTGTTTGAAAATTTGTAAAATTAAAAAGAATCAACACATTATTTTTCCGCTAAAAGGAAGACAGAAATAAACATAGTTGCACTGGGTGGGGAAATTACAGTAAAATATTTTTGTAAGTTATTTTCAATAAACGGTTTTAAAATTTAATGGCGTCTCACAGTATGTTCATTTTAGTTACAATGATGTCACCATGCACTGGGGGTATTAATTCATAAAGTCAATATGAAAAGTGATTATCTAAGTCTAAGAAATGCTACAAAATCTTTCAAATTTTTACCCTTCTTTAATTTGGCTCTTGGTCAATAAAGATGAGATGTTATTTGCTGCTCTATTCACAGCCAACGGATTATTATCACCAGCAATATGATAACAGTTAGACCATTCAGTAGCCCCCTAAAAGACAATAGTATATATTAAAACCAAAGTATCAAACTGCAAAAAACAAAAACAAAAAAACTCCCCAAAACCCAGAAATGATTAAAGGGAAAATCATTTCAATTGACTGTCAATAAACTAGACAATCCCATCCAATAATCCAATGGTTTTCTAAAGTGGTAGAACACTGAATGTCGTGAACTTTGCTATTCCCCTTGCTTGAAAAGCCCTCCCGTTCTTTCTCACTTGCTGAACTCCTACGCATCTTTCAAGACCTAGCTCAAATGTCACACTCTCTCACATCAACCCAACTCTCTTAGCTGTCTCTCATTTGCCTCCCCAACCCAAAACACTTTGTTACATACTCTGTCACTGCACTTGTTTCTAATTATTTCTATACCTGTCTGCCTTTCAAGAAATCTCCCTAAGGACAAGTCTCATATTCTATGCAATCCCTCAGGCAGCAGTGTTTGGCACACAGTAAGCATTACAGACCTGAAATACAACCATGGTTTGAAAAACTTAACCAAAGTGAAGTAACCAACCTATACCCTTTTGTGATTACAGGATTTTATATAATCTGATATATTGGGGTATTTGAAAATTTCAAAATAAAATATAATACCCACTGCATAGGCCTTTGAATGATAACACCACATCCCTGAAAAGATTCTGTAATGTTAAGTCAGAAACATGTCAACAGAACATAAATACCAATGTTACATATCATTTGTGGAATGGAGGTGACACCCTACCCTAGGCTGAACAATGTTCCATGTAGATTCACAGGTTTCTGATATGAAAGCAGAGGAAGTTCTGCCCTGTTTAGGGATGAGGAACAAATACTTCTTCCTTTGTAAACAGTAATACAACCCATATCCATGAACACAAGGCTTCATCGCCTTTTTCCCACACACTTGAGGGTGATGTAGAAGAGACCTACAGAATTTGATGAAAGCCTCTCAAGTGATTCTGATTCCCTAACACTCATTTTTTTGTCTCAATCTGTTTAGACTTTTGGCCTCTGAAAAAGATGGATTTTGTAGTACTTCCAAATTTTAAAAGAACTCTAGATCACTATTTTATACTTGGGTTAAGAATTCTATATACATACTGTCAATCATTTCATAACTTCGTTCATTCTGATCATGTACCAGCATAGATTTTTCTGTATTAACATTCTCATGTCTACACTTACATGGAAATGCTTCAACCTTTTTCTGTATCTTTTTGGAGGGTGGGCTCTTCTGGACTCTGTAGCTCTGTTGTATATTTCTTAATACATAGTGACTTTCCCTTCTATTTCAGACATAGGTACATCAAGGTTTAATGCTAGAGAGGAAGACTTTGCTTTGTTCCTGGAATTCTTGACAACAACTGAGTTTTCTCTGTGGGCAGCTCTTTAGTCATAGTAAATTTCTCTAGCTCACACTACCAGAAAACAGTAGTCATCTAGACTACCAAGATTTCCTTCTGGGATTTTAGCTCCCAAATGACACATGCCATTTTCTAATTGCAATGTGAATATTATTTTTTCCTTTGTGAGTTGCTTTGGACTTGTTCACCTGTCCAGTTTCTGCCCACTCATACAATCTGTATATCTCCTTGCACTTTATTCCCACTGGCTTTAGATACTCTATGTAAGAAATTACTATGTCTCATAAATTTAAGCAATTTTTTAAAATAAATTTAAGCAATTTTAAAGGGGAGCACCCTCTTCCAAATTATTTGTAAAAGTTTAGATAATACTGATTCAAGGAGACTCTCCTGTTAAATGTTCTCCACTTAGAAAATGCCTTTCCATTTCCTGTTTTGCTTTAAGTAGTTTTTGAGTCCTCTTAGTATCACAGTAATTTTGAAAACTATTTGAGTGTTTGTGTGTAACCATATTAGACTTCCTGAAAAATCTAAATAACATTATCATAGGTTTCTCCATTTTACAACTATATTTACTCCCTCCAAGAGCCTAAGTGGATTGAGAAGCATAATCTCACTTTATAGAGATGGAACACCTTCCTCCAGTGTATGCTTATGCCTTCGAGTCTACCAATTGTCTTTTATAAAAAAGGGACTCACCAGTTTGTAACTCTCAGCCTCCTCTGTAATCCACTGAGTAACCATCACTTATAATCTACCAGTCCTTAGCTAGTTGTAATAACTGGTTATATCCTTCACACAAAAATCCCTGCTTTACTACTGCAATTTCTTTTTTAATTTTTTTTTTTAAACTAGTGCAATTCTTTTAAAACTCTTGGGGGTCCACTCACCCAACCCTGATGATTTCATTATGTGTAATTTGCCCTTTAGGTCTAGAATATTCTAGATGTATCACTTGCTTATCCAAAAGATAAAGAAACGTCATTACCTCTATTGGTATTGCTCCGGTTCCACACATCGGATCAACTATTATATCAGTAGGTTGAGGAGCACAGAGCCTATAGAAAAGAAAACAGCCTATATGAAAAACACTTCAATCAATAGCTGGGGCTTTCACACTGACTATTCCTGAAGCTGTAAGATCAAGGACCTATTATGCTAGCATAAAGGAACACCAATTAATTTTCATTTTAAAAATCAATTTGTAATTAAGAGATTGACTCTATATCCTAGAGCTTAAAAAAAAATTACGTATAGCTAAAGTACCCTCTGACTCATCCAAAATCACATTTCACTGACAGATGGAATTTAGCTTCCAGATCTTTTATTTTTTTGGGGGGGGGGGGCCGAAACCTGGGAGCTTCCAGATCTTTTAATATATACGTATCTATCTATCCATCCATGTCTTTAGAAAACACAGTTTTATTTTGTATATAAACCTGTACTGTTCCATAAGAAAAAAAAAAATCTCAACTGTGTTTCAAGTAAAACATGTACTGATAAGTATTGATAGTAAGTTTATTGGCAATTAGACATTTAGTATTCCTTTCCTTATGAATTTAATTTTAAAGGTAAGAACCTTGCCAGAAATAACTGCTTTACTTTGAGCACTCCGTATTTGCCAGCCATGGATTTAAGCTCTTTGCATTATCTCATTTAATCTTTTTAACAACCCTTCAGTTTTTCTGTGGATTCCCCAAGATTTCTCAGTATCTTTCCTATAAATACCCCTTCCTATGCAATCATCGTTTTTTTTTTATCTTGAACTAGCTTACTTAGGTTTCTAATAGTTGCACCCAAAAGAAGTCTCCCATGTTCCTGGATCCTACCATAATGCCTGGCAATACATTATAAATGTTTGTTAAATGAAGGAAGGAAGACTGGGAACTGTTCCTTTATCAAATGGGCCCAGTATTCTATTACTGTCATTATACTGATAGTTTCCAACTGTGCTGAACTGTGACTCCATGGATGAGCAGAGTGAAAGAGGAAACAAAGACTGGAAGAGAAGGAAATATAATAATTAATAAACAATTAGTCAATGCCAGGATATACCAGACACTATGTAACAGGTATTAAGCATATATTTCTACATCTACTCCTCACTAACAATCCTTTAAGTCTCACATCAAACCCATTTTGCAGTCTGGAGAACAGAAACCTCAAGAAGACAACCTGTCCTAGAGGTGGAAAGAAGCACCCAATAAAAGGGCAAAGGACAAACGAGAAAGCAAGCTAGGTCTTGCACTTGAAAAAGTGGAAAATCCTGGATGATTCCTGAGATGCTGTGAGTATAAATTTTAAAAATATTAGTAAAAGCTCCCTGCGTTCATTTACACATTATACACTTTTTTTGACCCCACCCCCCACCCCCACCCCATATCATACACATTTAAAAAAATCTCTGCTTTCAGGGTGCCTGGCTGGCTCAGCCGGTATAGCATGTGACTCTTTATTTCCGGGTTGTGAGTTTGAGCCCCACGATGGGCTTAGAGATTACTTAAAATAAATAAATAAAAATATAAAAATCTCTTTCATCTGCTTCATGGCACAGAAATTAAACAGCAAAATTTGCTGTATTTCCCAACATACAGTATATCCTTTGTAAACAGAAATGTTCAGAGGCAGATGAAAACTACTGTTCTCATTTTAAAATCAAGAAAATGGAGATGGTAATTAAGTGATATTTTCAGGATTACAAGGAATCAACATTGGATACAAGAGAAAGAAACAGATCATTTGCTTTTTATCCTGTTGTTTAGCCACTAAATTCCAACACAGTACTTCACACAATATTCAGGTGTTTTAAAGGGAAAACTCAAATCAAGGTGTCACTTTTTAAAAAAAGATTTATTTTTTAAAAGATTTTATATATTTATCTGAGAGACAGAGAGAGAGGGAAAGAGAGAACAAGCAGGGGGAAGAGGAGAGGGAGAAGCAGACTCCCTACTGAGTGGGGAGCCTAACGAAGGGCTTGATCCCCTGACCTGAGATCATGACCTGAGCTGAAGTCAGACACTTAACCAACTGAGCCACCCAGGTGACCCATGATTTATTTATTTTAGAGACAGAAAAAGAGCGAGAGAGAGCAGGAGGGGCAGAGAGAGAAAGAACGCGGGGTGGTAGGGGGAGGAGGGAGAGAGAGAATCCTCAAGCAGATTTTCCGCTGAGCAAAAAGCTCAACATGGCGGGGGGGGGCTTGATTCCAGGACCCTGAGATCATGACCTGAGCTGAATCAATAGTCAGACACTTAACCAACTGAGCCACCCAGACACCCCCCAAGGTGTCACTTTAATCTGGATAGTAAACCCATTTTCTTACCTAAGCATCCCATAGGCAAGAGTAGATCTAAGTGTTGTAGGTCCAAAATGTGTGATATTTCTTCGGTGGAGACTCTCTTCTGTCAATGCAATGCCCACAACAATTTCATTATCATGAATGTTCAAAAGAACCTATAAAAGAAAAACAAAAGAGAATAAAATAGGGGCACTTGGCTGGCTCAGTCACTAAAGCATGTGACTCTCAATCTCAGGGTTGTGAGTTTAAGCCCCACATTGAGTGTAGAGATTGCTTAAAAAGAAAATCTTAAAAATAAATAAAAAATAAAAGCTTTAGGATTGCTCCCATTGCACCAAGATTTTTTATTAATTAAATTTTTTTACTTTATTATTGAGCTGTACTTTGCATAAAGTCGACCAATCCCAAATATACAGCGCAGGGAATTTTTACCTATATACACTGTGTAACTGCTACCAAGATAAAGATATACAGTATTTCTAGCACATGCCAGAAGGCTCCCCTTGTCCTCTGACAGTCGGTACCCACCGAAAGTAATCATTAATCTGGCTACCACCACCACAAATTAGTTTTTTGAACTTCATATAAATGAAATCATCTAGTATGTACTCTTAAATTTTAAAACCTGTTTTACTCTTTTCATTTACTGTAAGTTACTATAAGCAGATATCCCCTGAATTTTTACAATATCAAGATATTTTGTAGGTTTATGGGTTATACACATTTTTTAAAATTTTAACTTTTTGAGAAATTTGAGAGAATGAGGGGGAGAGAGAGAGCACGAGAGGGGGGAGGGGCAGAGGACAAAGCAGACCCCCCCATCCCCCCAAGCAGGAAGCCTGATACGGGATTCCATCCCCGGACTCCAGGATCATGACCTGGGCCGAAGGCAGTCGCTTAACCAACTGAGCCACCCAGGTGCCCCAGGAGGCTGGGGTTTATTTTAAATATGTACTCCACTTTTTTTAAGTAGTAAAACTCTACAACCAAGACACAAGAAAACCAAAATAACTGCTAATTCTGGTTGAATTTTATAATCGGAAAGTCCACATAATGTAAAAAGTACTAGATTAAAAAACTCAAATTTTTTTTTTTTAAGATTTTATTTATTTGCCAGAGAGAGCATAAGCAGAGGGAGTGGCAGGCAGAGGGAGAGGGAGCAGCAGACTCCCCGCTGAGCAGGGAGCCCGTTGTGGGGCTCAATCCCAAGACCCTGGGATCATGACCTGAGCCGAAGGCAGCCACTTAACCGACTGAGCCACCCAGGTGCCCCAAAAAACTCAAGTCTTAATAGCTCCCATCTACTGAGCACTCAGTATACAGCAGGTATCAAACCAAATACCAAAATGTATTATCTCATTTAACTTTCAGGACACACTTAAAGTATATGCTATCGCTGGCTCCACTTGAAAACAGAGGCTCAGAGACAGTATCTTGTCCAAAGTTATGCAGTTGTAGAGTCAAAATCTGAATCTAGATTTGTCTCGTAGCGCATGCTCCTGTTAACCACACCCTATTAGCTCTGTGGCCACAATGTAGCCACCCATAAAATTGGTTAGTCTAAAAATGCTACCTGTGACAGCCTTCTTGAATCATCATAATCAGAGCCTGTACGTACCTCCACATCAAAGTTGGTCATGTCAGCCTTCCACTTAAAGTAATCTTGAACAGCACCCCCAAAATCTCTTGCAGCCTCATTTGAGGAAAAGCAATGTTTCTCTCCTGCCCGGTTGCATGTGACTCTAAACTTTAGCACTTTAGGATGAGTTTCTTCTTTTAAACTTTCATCCTTCTCGTCTTTGCAAGATGCCAAATCATCACCTACTAATGTTGATATCTCTTCTTTGATGGCTGGATTTTCATAATAGTCTAAGATATGGCAATCCAAGGTATTGTTAGTGAATCCTTTATCATCTTTCTCATCTGTCTTGTCTCCTTGTCCATTATCAATCTTCTCTTTACCTGAACTCTGATTCATCTTTTTGCGCTTTGTTTTTTTTTTCTTGAAACTGGTGTTAATTTTCCATACTTTTAAAGGGTCTGACCATGGAAGCTTCCCAGCCAGTTCTTCAAAATCCTTTAGAACTTCTTCCTATAAAGGACAGAGAATGAAATCCATGCATCTCTCACCACTTTCATTGAACAAATCCCTACACTGCCTATAGACTACATTAATCATTACACTGGGGGAGGTAGGAGTGCAGAACAGAAGAGGAAATAAGATAATGTCTACGATTAAAGAAATTAGTTTCACTGAAAATTAAGATAAATACAAATTAAGCAACTTAAAAATACTACTAGACCAGTGAACCAGAAATTGGGTTTAAGATTAAAATGTAAGCAATCAGAAACTATTAAAAATGGTTGCCTCTAGGGAGGGGAAGTGGGTGGATGAAAAACGGGAGGGAGGGCAATTTACCTCTCACTGACTGACTTCCTTCTGAATTTTGTGCTATGTATATATACTACTTTTAAAAGTAATTTTTAAAAAAGTATTATTATTTATTTACTTATTTTTTAAGTAATCTCTATATCCAACGTGGGGTTCAAACTCACGACCCCAAGATCAAGAGTTGCACACTCCACTGACTGAGCCAGCCAGGTGCCCTTAAAAATTAGTATTTTTTAAAAGGAAAAGGAAACCAGAAGCGGTGAAAAATGTATCTCTCCAGTTTCTAAACAGCACCCAGAATCTTTTTAAAATGAAGCTTCCAAGAATGAAGAAAACTGAATTGAGTCAACTTCTGAAGAAGATAAAATTTGAAGAAGTTACTGGGAGCTGCTATTTTATATTACGACTGCTTTTTAAAATTTTGTTCATGGGGGCGCCTGGGTGGCTCAGTTGGTTAAGCGACTGCTTTCGGCTCAGGTCATGATCCTGGAGTCCTGGGATCGAGTCCCACATCGGGCTCCCTGCTCAGCGGGGAGTCTGCTTCTCCCTC